GAGAGAGAGAGTGTGTGTGTGTGTGTGTGTGTGTGTGTGTCCAGCAGAGGGCAGAACTCGACAGTAAGAATGTTTGAGCAGCTGATCGCTGCTATCGCTGATCTGCTTTCATCCCAAACCAAATGTGATGCAGTGTTGCAACAGTGTGAATCCCCACAGATTTATCTGGAGAAAAACCTGACTAACGTGTGCACACATTTAAGGAAAAAACATATATTTGTACAAAATTCAGCCTTCAAATGAGATTTCACTTAAATTGTTTGAGACTCTTCAACTGTTCCCAGTGAAGGTGCTTTAATAGGCAGCCTTTTGAACTGTGAGTGTTCTCAGTTAATACATAAAGAACTGCTTGATTTCATTCTACCAAATCTAAAAACGCTGATGTGAAATGATCTCTTACTGCTCACTTAACATCCAGAATGCTGGTAGACTAAATCATTAAAAAAAATGTGAATTTGTTTTTTGCGTTTAAGTTATCCATATTGTTGAAAGCTGCAGGCTGCACACACTGTAAATGCAGTGTACATATAAGCTTTTCTCATTGTTACTACTCATATCTCTGATGTTTTATAGATAGGACTGCTCTGCTGTAAATAGTTTCAACATCTTTGCAACAGTTATTTTCCTAAGTCACCATTTGTAATGCCCTGCAGTATTGATATTGAAGCATTCAGAGTGGTTTATTATTAGCAGGACACAGACCACAATTAATCTGCATTGACATTATCATAGAAGGAATAATTACCATACAAAAATCAATTTCCTGCATACATGCATTATACAATGAGGTGGAAGATTAAAAAGGGAAAGTTTCCCGCTGCAAAGCTCTAATAGGGGTTCCATTTTGAAAATGGCCTCATTTCCAGCTCTTATTAGGCTATAGTCATATCCAATATCCATCCAGGCTGGAGTCTCGAGTGCTTATTAAAAAGGTCCATTCTGAAACCACAAATGGAGCCCTTAAGGATAACGTGGACAACACTACAGAGTACTAATCCTATCTGGCCCAGAATCTGCTTGTAGACACTAGAAGAAACAATAAGCCAGACACGAGTCCTCCAAGTGTTTTCATCCCCCCCCCGGCACACCAGAGGAGGTAGAGGGAGAGAAAGAGACAGAGAAAGGGATGATAGCATTACTCACAATCCATTACCACTCCCTGGAGACGCTCTGCATACAGAGTGGTGGAGAGAGGGGGGAGGGAGGAGGTGAGGATGAGGAGGGGGTCGGTGGTGTGAGGTAGAGTGAAGGGTTTGGGTCGGGGTTTGCTTGCTGGAGGCCCAGCGGTAAGGCAATATGAAACTTGATTATTCCTTTTCAATAACCGTCTGCTGAGGATCCCGCGGAGACGTCGCAGGTTGCTGATTAGTTCGTCAAAAATAATAGAAGGCTCTTGAATGGCCTTGTTAAGATGTCTAACTTTAAACTACAGACCGCCGCCCAAGTCATTGTGTTCGCTCTGAAGCACGCCGTAATGATGGATGCAGAGGGATGGTCCTCCCCAGCCTGCAGACATTTTTTGTATCAAGTTTGTTTATTTTTAAGGGCAGACAATATACAAAGAGCTGGAGTAACAATACATGAATATATAGTTTCTTACACATTAATACAGAGTATGTACATTTAGTATTTACACTTAAAGGCATGTTTGTATAGACTCAGTCTTTCACCCTCTAAGCGTCTCATTTGGTTGAATTTAAACTTTTATTTTTTCTATGGAGTTGGCCCCACCTACAGTCTCTGTTTCAGAGCCATCTGTCCCCCTCCTCCTGGAGTTTCACTCACTTTAATCCATCTGTTGCCTCAGTGTGTCCCCTCCCCACCATCTTGCCCCCGTACTGAATTTCACTTCAGTGCTTTGATTTAGAAGGTCGCTACAGTAGCATGTTGAACATCGCTAATTTGTACAAAAGCCTCTCTCGAGTGTCGAAGGCAGGCCACAGGTCAGACTCTTGTTCTTTGGAAGTATTTTTGTTCATATTTGACAGGAGAACCGACAGAATTAAATGTAAACATACACTTTCACTGCTTATATATGACATTTTGTTCTTAAAAAATACTCATATGATACACTGGATTTGACAGAAACAATTAACAAGCTTTTGAAGTTTTTTGATTGTAAATTTTTGATATCTTATATACATTTTCTGATTGCCGTTAAATTACCTTTCATATCAAAACCTATCCAAAAAACAGTGACTATACTGTACAAGGGACTATCTACTGTGCCCTAATCTAAAACATTGCTTTCCACTTTTGACTTGTGAGGTGAAGTGCCCTCTCTTGTAATCATCCGTTTCATTTTCTAATTGCGTTTCGACACAAGTGTCACTTGTAGAGTTGTATAAAATGAAGACCAGCTCAGCTCAGAGCCAATATCCCCCAACAAGCCATCATCTGATATCCCAGCAGCGTAAAGCCCATATACAGTTACTTCAACAATTATCCAT